GGAAAATCATTCCTGTCCAGAGCCACAGTGCCGTTGACTAGTCTGTCACCGTGTTAAGGGCTTTCCTGATCAAAGCTCTATTGCTGTTTTTTACCCTCTCTCTTCTCAGAAGAAATAGGCATAATGATGGGCTTTGGCAGGAACCGGTAACCAAGGATGCGCTCTCTGGGCCCATGCCACCTAAGTTCCTGTGCTGGCTCTATGGATGTCGGCGTCGTGTGACCCGGAGTAGATTATACAACGTCTTGTGGCCCCCGTTTCTGCATTTGTAAGGTGGGAGGGTGCAGGATTCTGTCAGGGGGTAGCACTTGTGCCTTAAATGAGACACTCAGTGAAAGCACTTAACATGCAGCCTGCTACTTATCTTTTACTGCTCCCTGGTCTGCACCTTTAAAGCGAATTCCCTGAGGTTTCTCTGCTTTGGAGCTCACTTCACCGATCTGTAAAGTGGGGGCGGTAGACCAGGTGGACGAGCAGCCTTGGGCTCTGATTGGTTCTGGCTTGTTTTCCTGCTTGGCATACTTTCTCTAATTGCAGTGTTCTTTGTTCTCTGCCCCTTTAGATTCATCATATTAGGGCTTGGGCATGTTTGTTTGATTTTATGAACTTGCTCAAAATCCACAATCGCAATTAAGCTCCTGTGCAGCCCGCTCAAGGCAGCTCAGAGTTTTTATAGCACTTCTCTCTGGTGTTTTGGGACCGATTGCCATTAGCATTTGTGGGGAGATGGTGAAAGTGGCTCTTTCTAGCCCCCAAGTCTCTGTGAGTGGACCCCAAGCTGGACTTACACTTTGACCTCAGAAGAGGTCTGGGTCTTGGCGATGTGATATAAGGGCTTACATTGCATTCTGGCGTGTTCCATGATTCTGTTGTTTATGTAAAACTTCCTGTGCTGTGGCGGGGGAGGGGGACGCACCGATACTAATAAGACTTTTGGTTTGTTTATTTGTTGGCTTAACCTAGGAGAACATTGGTGTTTCCTCTAATGGGGCCAGGAGACGGGTTCTAACAGGGCGTGCAAGTTGATGAGGCTCTGAGGATGGGTGTCCAACGGTGGCCGTAAAGTTTAGCATTGGGACTTGATCACCCAATGTGCCAGGGCATGGCTTGTTCTTCGGGGTCCTTGATCCTTCTCTGTGCTCGGGGCAGAGTCCTGCTCGAACACGAGCACAGAGCAAGACATCTACCTGGTGTTTGTGACGTGATAGGTGACCATCCCGTCACTCCATTGGCTTCTCATCATGAAACTCTGGGAGAGCCTCTGGCTGGCTGTTGTCTGTGTCCCGCGGCCGGGCATCAGGGAGCGACTTCGCTGCGGTCATGATTTTGACTCAGTCTCTGGTGAAAGCATTGCACGTCATGTTGGCCAAGAGCCGCGCAGGAAAAGGAAGAGGAAGGACAATGAAGAGGTAGCAAACACCACCTTGGAGTTCTGGTTCAGGCTCTTGGCTTTTGCATTGTGATTTAATACGCACGACAGTCCTGTGGAACCGGCTCTAAGGAGCTTTGGCCCACTGCACAGAGCAACGGAAAGCCTTGTGCAGACTCACCCTGGATTAGCTTAGGCTCTTCTCATCCGTGCTCTCCTAGCAGCTTTGTGACAGGATCGGGGCAAGACGGACAATCCCTTCCCTTTGGAGAGAACTCAGTATATATTCTTCTAATATTTTTGTTTTTCAATTACAGTTTACTTTCGATATAATTTTGTGTTGGTTTTCGGTGTACAGCATAGTGATTAGACTGTCATATATATGATTTGACTTCTATGTGGAATCGAAAGAACAAAATAACCAAAACTGAAACAGACTCAGAGATACGGAGAGCAAACCAGTGGCTGCCAGAGGGGAGCAGGGTTTGGGGGACGGGGTGAAGCACGTGAAGGGATTGAGAACTGCGGGTCAGTAGTTACGGAACAGGCACAGGGGTGTTAAGTGGCTCCATGTGACCCTCAGGGTCACGAAAAAGAAGACACCGTCGCTGAGAGGCCATAGGGGAAACCCCCAGGGCTCACCGCGGGCTGGTGCAGGGAAAGCAGAGGGTGGGACTTGCCCCAGGTGGGGGGCGCTCCGCGGAAGTGGGAGAAAGTGCGTTGGTGGCGACCGGCTGAACAAAGCCGGCAGCGGGATGTGGAGAAGCCGAGAGGGCAGGTAGCCCCAGGTCGGAGAAGGCGCAGCGGCAGCCGGCCCGGTGCCCGGCATTTAGTGGTCACGCCCAAGTCAAATAGGTCTGTGGTCTGCACCAGTGGGAACTCAAAATTTATGGGAACAAAGCCTGTGGAGACAGTTCACAACAGCTTTTGGTCACTCACCCTGAGAGATCGTTACTCATCTTCAGGGATAAATGATATAAGACAGAACCTTATACCTTTGTCCAGGAGGTTCTGGGATTTATTGACTCACTTCAGTGAGATAGAGGACATTAATCAAAGTCCTCTTAGCCTCTTTGACATGAAATCCATTGAGTTTTATGGCAGCATGTATGTGAAGACAATTGTAAGCTATAATGGGGCAGGAAGAGATTTGGAAATTGAAGACTCTAAAAATTGAATTCAAGGACTGACCTAGGCCAGCTCTGTGGTCTGAGCAAGTCACCTCTTCCTCTTGGTCCAACATTTTTAATAGAGTCATAAATACCTGCTGTATCAGTCTTATGGACTCACTAGGGATCAGTTGATAGAAATATGTATATATCCCCCTAAACTGTAAAGTATTTTTATGTATCATACTGAATATTGCACAAGTATCTAGTGTTTTATTTTCTAAAACATGCAGACAGTTACAACTTCTTTAGGTGTGTGACGTATTCTACGATGAGTAATCACAGCAGGTTTTAGTGCTCCATCCATTTCTTGCAGTATGTTTGCTCTTCAAACTGAAGAGTGGGGGAAAAAAAGAAAGGTGAAAAATAGGCCTTGATATTTCTAAACGGAACTTTTCAAAATGTCTTAGGTGAACATGGTTTGTGCCAGAATGTTGCAGTTGAATCTAGATACAGCAATGCGTTACATTTTAAAACAAGCTACTATCCAGTTTGACTTATTTCTCATTATGGTAATGTCTAATTAGTAACGTTCATCATCATGGTCTTTTCGAAGATATTTCTGTAAGAATGCTGGTCTCAAAACCCACACAGGTGACTTGAAAAATGTGTGTCTGCCTTATCTAAAGAAATCAATCCAGGAGGGGAGTTTATTTTATTTTTCTTGAAGCAGGTAAATATGATAAGATGGATGGTAACTTGAAGAATAAAGAGTAGGGTTTCTCCAGACCGATTTACATATTGATTATTTAAATTACTCCTTAATTTAGTGCCTGCTAATAAACTGTGCCTTGGAAATGTTTCCAGAACATTTATTGGCGGCAGTAATTCCACCTACCGTATATGCAGATCACAGCCTCATTAAATATTGATGTGCTCATGAAATGTTAATAGGATGTTAATGTGAAATGCAGGGGAATGTCCTCGCTGGGAGCTGGCTGGAAGCTACCTGTCTCCTGCCTTTTATATGTCCTGTCTCCTCGCTCTGTTTTTTCCATTCGTTTCCCATCATCGGGAGATGCAGGTTTGGTCCTTGATACGTATGGTTGTCTCAGAGACTCAATTTTTGGTAGAGAAATAAGGACTCCCTGATGGATGGGAATTTAATTGTTCTCCCCTCCTGCTTTCCTGACTTGGAATTCCTGGCTGGAACCCGAAAGGGTTCTTCTGAAACAAGGAGGGTGATTCAGGCCCAGTCGAGCGAGACTGTGCTCCGCAGCTTGTCCAGAAGAGACCCTGAGGAGGGGACAGAACTTCTAAGGATGCCCTCAGTAGCTGTCCCCTGGTCGGCAGGAGAAGGCATTTCATTGGAGTGAAAAACAGCCACCCCAGAACCTGTGTTTCCTAAAGAGACTGCAAGGGAGAATTTTTATCGCAAATCCTGAGGACAGTAAAGGTTATATTCTTAGTGACATTCAGTGCCTGATTATGCATCACAGCAGATACTGCAACCTGAGAAGTGCCACGAACAGGGGTGGTTCTTCAACTTCTTGGACAATCGGAAGGGTAATAAAGTGTTCATGACAAAGGCTGTGAAAATGGCCCGTGATGCCTCCAGGGGGACAAGGAGACTGAAGAAAATGCAGCGATTCGTTGTCACTGTGGTTAGGTGTAAACGCCATGCTGGAAGGAACTTCCCCTGTTGGGAAGGGTTGATTTGTTACTGGGGGGGACTTCAATACATATAACTTGTATGTGTGTGTGTGTGTGTCATGGCCATGGTTTGTACAGAAAATAATAGGAGTATGTTTTTATTAAAATCCTAATGCTCTGGCTTTAAATAATCCGAGCTCCCCTGAGCCCCCTCACGTGACCTCACTGGTCCCATTTGAAACGGGGCGGCATTTTGCCTTTCTCCCTCTTTTGAAATTGTTTTATTGCGGGCTCCCATCCAGGTAGCTCCTGCACTCATCCCCCCAAGCTGCTGTCGGCACAGGCGGGCAGCTGTCCCCCTTTCCTATGATCAGTCCCAGGGGAGGACTCTGGTTGGTCCAGTTTGTGTCCCGTGTCCCTTGGGTGTGGTCCAGCCCACGAAGGCTGGGGCTGAGATCTTGTAAGGACCTGGCAGCTGCTGTGGAAGCGTGGGGTGAGAGTCCCGGAAGAGGACTTGCTGTTCCCAGGAAAGAGGAGACGTGGCGGAGAGGACATGGCTGTGATCTCATCACTTTAGTGAAAAAGTCTGTTTTGTAAATGCCCCTCCAGAGGCATCTATCTCTGTAAGTGAGCCCCACCATGCAAACTATCCTCTTCCAGAGTCCAAGAAGGCTTTAGGACATCAGGAAAACATAACAGTTTAAGGTTCTCTAGCCCAAGGTTATACTTTGAGGACGATTTTGTCTGGCCCCGGGACCTCGGTTTGGTGAGCTGGAGGGGGCTGGTTTCTCTGTTTCCGCGGAGTCTGCGTCTTTGATATTTTACCCAAACTCACTTCCCCGTGTGACCTGTCCACCCTCTGTTTGCAGATTGTGCTTGAGAACAGCAGCCGGGAAGATAAACATGAGTGTCCCTTCGGCCGCAGCAGCATAGAGCTGACCAAGATGCTGTGTGAGACCCTGAAAGTGGGCGAGCTGCGTAAGTACACGCGTTCTGCACGCAGGCGTGGCGCTGTGCCCGGACCCGCACCAGCAGCTCCCGGGACCGTTCCCGGACGTCTGGTGGTCCGGGCATACTTTGGTTCCAGTCGGCAGTGCGTGTATTCCTGCACGTCTGCTCTGGGAAGAAATGTTATTAAAATCTATGAGCACAGAAAAATAGGCAGGCACTGTGACTGAACTTCAAATATTATTAAAGTGAGCATATATTAAAACAGCCTTGCATTTAATACTTGGTTAGGAAAACGACCTATGAATTTCTTTTTCCAAAACCCAGTGTTTCACTACCCGTAGATCATTTTCCTTTCTTTCTTCTGAAACAATTTTTCTCTATAAAGAAAAAAAAAAATTGAATACCTTAATGAAATCTCTCCCAGTATCTCACTTGTTTAAAATGCTTTCTCCAAGAAAGAAGGAGTTATTGAAGAAAATGTGGAGCTGACTGTGAGAAATATGCTCTCGGAGATAATGCTTATAGCTCTTTTTTCTTACTTATATTACAAATTTAAGAGAGGACACCCAGGAAAAGAGGGCATAATGATGCTCTTGCCTTTTGCTCGTTGGCATAATTTGGCTTTCACCTGTCAAAGTGAGTCTGATTGAAGCTGGCTGACAGGCTGCCTCCCGTGCCCCCCGACATCGGTGGAGCTAACACACACATTAAATCTTCCCCCGTAGGCTTACTGACGTGGGCGCCAGGGACCACTGTTTGTACCAGGGAAATGTTGGGTGTTTGGTATTGTTGTGGAAGCATAAATATTCAGTCACTTGCTTGAGAGCTTAAAATAATGGTCTGAAATGATGAATGGGAAGAAATCCAACGATGAAATTGGAAAAGGGGGTCATGTTTTATTTACGGTGCAGAACCGACTGCGGTACAGCTAAGGTAAATGAGAAAATTCAGAACTTAGTGAGGAGAAAGCTAAGAGGTTGCGCCTGTTTGCTCATAAACACACAAGACGTTGCCCTCCTCCAGGGTGGGTGGGAAGGAAGCCGAGGTTCAGTCCTGATGGCCCGAGTCCGGGCGTTCTGCGTGACTCGCGGGGCGGCCCGACCGGAGACATCCCTGCGTCCGTCTCCTGGGGTCTGGGCTCGCTGACGCTGACGCTTCAGTTCACCTGGGCCCTTGATGTGAGCTGTTTCCCACCCTCATTAGACTGCCTTGTTGAAATGTATGGCCGTGGTGTGGCTTACTGTGTATTCAGCCGGGGGATCAGGGTCCAGAGTCGAACCAATTCCACCGGATTCCCTAGTCTGATAACTGTGACTGTTTCATGTCAGCCTCAGTTTTATGGGGGAGGCTGTGGAAAGTCACTGTCTAAGAAGCACTGCCAACCGCCTGAGGTCTTCAGAAACTGGAGACCCATCGTGCTCCACGTGGCTGGCGCGCCACCTGTCCCGGTCATTGCCCTTGTTGTCCTTTCCTTGCCCCGCCCCTCTCCCATCCTCCTAAGGGTCTGGTTGGGCTCACAGAGCTCACCTTGGTGGAGGCAAAAGAGACCCTCTTTTTGACTTTGACTGCCACCCCCAGCTTCTTGCTCTTCTCCATCCAACGGACACGTGTCTCTAATGGTCCAAGTTAACAGAACAGAGATACGGTGAACAACAAGGAGGACATGGGGAAGAATGGAGAGCCGGGTTCTGTCTCTGCCGCGTACCGCCTTTATGTCCTTGGTAGCATACTCGCACTTCACTGTGCTCCTACCGCCCCCCGTTTTATACTATCGTACAGTGTATTTGCAGTGCTTTATTAGATGTAGTGTTATGCTGGCTGCAACCTCACACATCTTATTTACTGAGCCTCTCACCTGCACCGTTGTGTCTTGTGCCTGACTTACTTGCACGTGCGTGGTGCAGGGACCTGCTGCACGGGCTTGCAGCCTGGGAGGAAGAGCCACACAGGGCAGCTGGGGTGCACGGTGGGCCGCGCCGTCTAGACTTGTGTAGGTGCACCCTGTGATGTTCTCAGTGAGAAAACCGCCTGACAACGCGTTTCTCAAACATCTCTCCATCCTCAAGCAGTGCAGGACTGTGGTTGTGTTCATTTTGGTGGCTTAATCATAGGTAACTTCATTGGTTGGAATTGTAGTCATAGGAGTTGAAGGGATTCCCTGGGAACAGACAATATTTACCCCAAGGGCAGTAAGTTGGAAAAGAGGGTCAAATTCTAGGCAGTATGAGGGCAGAGTACCTGTGGGTCAGTGAAGCCCCACCTGGCGGGGGCGGGGGGTAGAGTCTGAGCAGACAGGGCCACTCAGGTAAATGTCAGCTCTGTAATTTAGGAGTCGGGGGGTGGGGTGTAGACCAGCACCCTGCCTCCAGGGGACCTGGTAGTCAAGCCGGCTCCTGAGGGCTGAGATGGCTGTGTGGGGATGAAGGCAGACACCTGGGGACCTCTGGGGCGCCCCCGATGCTGCTCTTGCACTAGAGGTTCTCCCATGCCCCACCTGCTGCTGGAAGGGTGGCTGTGAGCATTCTGCCCCCATCGCTCAGCACCCGGTCAGGTCTGGTGTCCGCAGTGGGGCTGAGCTCGGGCAGCTCGGGGCTGGCATGCTTGTGGTGGGGCCCTCCATCCAAGATGACAAACGCACTTGTTCATTTGTTCCATAAAGACCTATCGATTACTTGCAGTGTGCCAGGGACTGTGAGGGACCTGCAGGTACAAAGGGGAATAAGGTATGGTCCCTGTCCCCCAGAAATTTCCACTTCAGAAAGCATATGAACAAGGTGGGACTGATAATTTTTCCTATTAGTTATAAGTCACTTTCTATGCATGTATATGTACATATATGAAAATATATGTATGCATATGTATGTGTGTGTATATATGTATGTGTAGACATATATATTTAAATGTCTGCTACCAGTTCTAAAGCTTAATTTTTGCAGTGTTTTGATAGTTAAAATTTGCAGGCTGACCTGTTGCTCAGCATCTATTGCAAAGGCTGTTCTGGATATGTTGCAAGGCTAACGAAAGATTCCTGTGTTTCTGAAGTCAGCGTGCCCACAAGAGTTGTTTTCTGCTCATAAAATATTAAAGGACTACTCCGCTCTGATCGAATACTAGACGTCAGTGATGAAACACCTTGTAGTAAGAGGGAAATTGCTTTTTAATGGATTGCCTCGTGCATACCGCCATATTAAATAAGGCCCTAATATAAAAAAGCAGATCTGAGCGCACCCTTATGTTGCAGGAGATGTCTATTTTTCTTCTGGGAAAATTGGTTTTGCAAACAAATCCGTCATCTTTTGGTTTGCTCGTGTCTGTTTTTCTCCATTTCTAAGTTCATGGTTCTTCTCAGATTTGTGTCAGTAAACGCACAGGAGTTCACGACCACCTTAGATCAATAAGCAAGTGCTGAGACCAAAGATGTCTCAGCTAAGAATCTAACTGATTGAAAAAATAAAGGACGTATGCAAAAGGAGAACAATTCGATTTTCTAGAAATGCTTTGCCTTTGGATTTAACATAAGGCCTCTTGAGCAAACTCACTTCTGAATTACCAATTACATTTTGGTGTCCAAAGCAAACATGTTAATGACCAATTAAATGGCTAATACCACGTATTTATGCATAGGTCTTTTTAGATTACTTTTTAAAAATTGCTTCTTTTATGGTTTCCAGTTATTGACATTGCAAGAGGCCAGTGTGTAATAGTGTGCTATAAAAAAAAAAATGCCTATTTATAGGCTAAAGTGCTCAGAGCACTTTATCAAAGTTATTTAACTGAAGCCTGTAACATTCCCAGGGGTTAATTAAGATCAATGGCATCTATGTTTAATAATGAAGAGAATACTTGCACTTACTGCACGTTGTCTAGGGTCACGGAGCCCCACTTGGTGTTCCAGACACCCAAAGAGCAGCGTAGAGAGAGGAGGACAAGTCCAGTGGTTGCATCTGGGCACCCGGATGACCGTCGCTACGTCACAGCTCCGCTCCTCGCTGGATGACTTGGGACATGCCCCGTCTCAGTTCTGAGCTTCTGGCTCCTCACCTACACAGTAGACAGAACATTCCCTGCACAGAGCTGTTGGAAAGACGTGGGCATTGCCTCACCTGGAAGATGGATGCTTCTTCTGCAAGTGAGAGACTCTCACTTTCCATAAACAGACTCCAGGTTGAGCGAGAGAGGGGTAGAGCGCTCTGGCATAAGTGGCAGCTAGACCCAGGACCCGGGACAATGTCCCTTGTTCCTTCACTCTCTGTTCTGACTAAAATGATTCTTTTTCATCTGCTTTCTCCAGGAGGTTCTTTTGAGAGCAAGGCGCTTATTTTCCTTTAGTTTTGGTTTTAAAAATCACAAAGAGGACTATTTATGGACCTGGATATAGTCACAGGTCCCCATGACCTGGGTTGTATAATTGGTGGCCCCAGTTAGAAGGAGATTAAAAGTAAGGGAAGAGCAAGTCTTCAAAAGATGAGGCATATTTGTATGCATGGGGCAGGTGAGGGACGGGGAGGTGGTGTGGCACAGACAAACCCGCAGATGCTCCGCGCAGACGTGGAGTCCTTCTGAAGATGCCACCAGGGGCTAACAAAAGTACCTGTTGTTTTTGTTATTATGGTACAGTCCTCCAAGCAATAAGTTGTTGAGAGATACAAGGAAAATTTGGTTTCTGACACAAATAGATTAACTGCTTATCTTTTGAACATACAGCGCCTAACCTAGTTATGTTCAATGTTAGGTAGAGCCAGGATAAAGGACATTTCTTCTTCTCTCTCATTCATTCCTTCATTCATTCATCATTCATTCCTTCAATAACCATAAGGTTCCCTCTCTATAAGTCATGATCCAATCACTGATGACCTGGGCTTAGAATGTGTCCTTCCATTCTCAGGCAGCTTGCATGGCTAACTGGAGAGTCCTTCACATAAACACATGATTATGAAACATTCGGCACTTGTAATATTTCATTCACGTTACATTAGTGTCATTAGGAGATGGTGTTTGGTTCTTTTCCTTCACGGGAAGCCGGGCAG